TGGGGTGGCCGCTGAACCTGGACAGAAAACAAGGGACCTAAGGAAGTGCAAACCCAATCCCAAGCCTGCTCTCTATCGTGTGGGCAGAAACCAGTTCAGGGACAACATGGGGAACTTCTGTTCTGACCCAACCAACCTTCTGCTATTGCTCAGCCTCACAGGGGAACGGCTGGACTCTCCCCATTCTCTTTACTGTGATGCCCCGCTTATTGCACAGGGTGGAAGTGTGCCTATGCATACTTCTGAAACCATTCTCTTCTCCTGAAGCTACCAAAGCATTCCTCTGCTTGTTCAGCATCTTATACCACTATCACATGCCACCATAGTCATTACAAAATCCCACAAAAGAGACCTGCCCATGTACCTCAGCTCCCCGCCTCTAGGTGTTGCCTCTGAAGGTCCAACCAAATCTCCCTCTTTGTAAAACACCTGTTAATTTGTGAGACTTACAGATTTGAGAAATTATCTTATTGCTAAAGCCAGTGACAAAAAAAACACGTGAGATCACTATAGCTGCAGAAAGTCTAAGAGCTTTAGGTTTTGCCCAGCACCAAGACCAAGAGGGAAATCCTGGCCCCACTGAGTGCCAGAGGAGCCAGAACATCACCTTGAGCATGGTCAGTCCAAGATTTTTATCTTTCCTTGCAGGTCCTGGGCCAGCAGAGCAGCACAGTCTGTGCCAGCCCTCCCAGAGAGGCTGTGTGTACAAAAGCAGGACTCGCTGGCACACACAGTCTGCAGGGCAAAATCTGCCTGACCCTGACGTTATATAGTCTTAGCAACGTCCAAGTGTCTCATCTCAGAACCGGACGTGTCTAATGAAAAAGTCAAAAGGTTCCCAGGATAGTAGGTTTGTTTTCCCTCCTTAAAAAAACAACCAAACAAAAAACCCCTTATTTTTCAAGTCTACTCATTTGAGACCTATGTCCTCCTGTCCTGCCTGTTCCTTCCCTCCTCACTGGCTACCAGAGCCTTTTCTCCAGACATACAATACATTTGGTCTATAAAGAGAGCATTCTCCATGTACAGCTGTGTTGGAGTAACTCTCAGAGGCTCTGAAGCGCAGCCAACATGCAGAAATATAAAACCCAAGAGGACTCAGTCTTGTTTTACCTGAGACGGGTTTATCTTACACACAGCACTGTTCTCTGAGGGAGCTGACCATTTCCACTCACGCAAATAAGAAGCGGGCATTTTTGACAAGATGTTTCTGGACTCAAACCTAACCAGAGGCTCTTGATTTTGTGGGGTTTTTTTAAACTCCATTTTGTTGGAAAAAAACAGATGCCCTGTATTTCTGCAATATCCCACAACAGAAATTAAAGTCTTTTTTCTTAGTTAGGTCTCAAAGAGAAAAATTATGGATTAAAACGCAACATGAAACAAATGATAAATTATTTATGTGCTGTTGGTAGGTACTCGGATATGATGATTAGAAGTGCTGAATAAAATGCCTGAACAGAGCAGAACAGAAGATCACACAGAAGGGATGAACTCCACAGTGCTGCAGTCATCTGAGTGGAGACTCACACCCCTGGCAGCAGGGTGAAAGCAAGGGAGCTGCGCCAGACTCCCTGTAACCCACCACAATTTCATGCCAAATACACAGACCCTGTAATTTGAAATTCCCACAATGAAACACACACATACAGTATTTCCAAAGCAAGTTACAGAGGCACCCTGGAAATTCCAGGGCAGCATACAAGGGGACTGTATCTTACAACGTTATTCCAAAACTTGAACTAATATGGAAAGCAGTGTGCTCGGCTGGCATTTGGGAAGCACACCACAACTATGTTCTGCTGCATTTCTTCATGGCCAGCTGGCTTTGAGATGGGATCAGAAGCATTAGCCCCACCTAAAAGAACCTAAACCTGATCAAACTGCCACAGTGGTAAGCAGCCATGGTGCTCTCTGAGGGCTGGTGTAGCAGAGAGTGAATGAAATTTGAAATGCCCCTTCTTTTCCTGAACTCTGAGAAGACTTCAAATTGTTTTAGCTGTAAGGCTTGGGCTATAAAGACAGAGAAGCACTACACTAACTCACCCTAGTAGAGAATTACAGTGTCTGTCCTGAAGTCTGATACATCATAGCACAGCTTCTTTCTCCCCTTTGGTTTGTATCAATAATCTGTGCCTAAATCAAAATATGGAAAAATGAAAAATTGTGAAGGGAAAGGACATTCAGCATGCAATATAGCAGTGGATGCTACCTACATCAAAAAAAAAAAAAGGACTTTTTTATTGAAATCACCATTTCTTTACTGTGTTTCTTGAGTCACTGTGATCTAAGAAATTAGTCTATTGACTGTTTCTAAATTGTGTGTTCACCTGTGTCACTGGCAGCAAAGCCAGTATTTGAAGCCGTATCTATTCCTTGCTAATTACTGCAATACCCCCTTTTCCAGCACACACAGTGTAAGTAACCTTATAGTTCAGTAATCTATACAACGCTCTCTCTTCTTCTTCTAACTTAGTCTGGTGCATGATATGCAAGTTTACTCTCACATAGGACAGCTGGTCTACATTCACAGACAGAAGAAAACTCTGCATGTAAACTATGTGGCTAAAGCCTGCTGGAAGCATAAAGAATAACCATAGCAGCTTGGAGCAAAGCAGATAGAGAAAATGGGATATAGAAACACTGATACGCTGCCTACAACAAGCCTTTATTAGGGTTCTTTAAGTTTAACACCCTACTGCTGGCTGCAGCCAGCACATACGTGAAGGAAAAGGAAACTCTTCTTCCATGTGCGTTGCTAGCTGTCCTTTACAGTGGAGAGATATTTTTTCTCATTTTTATGGTGATTAGCTTGTTCGGGGAATTATAAGACTGAGTCTATCATCCATCAGCTTATGTAACTTTCTACTAATGGTTTTAAAAATGACACAGCCACAGCACTTGTTCTGTTCTCCTTTGTGAGATGATCCACACACATCATACACAACTGCTCCCACGTATACTTTCTCAAGTAATACCATTAACACAGTGCAGAATAGTCCCTCAGACATTATCTAACCAACAGCTTCAGTAAATTCTTCTGTGTTCAGGCTGCGCGCCATTTGTCTCTTGTCCTCTGCACTCCTACCTCTTCTTAATTACTGTCTCTTCACGCACCCGTGAGAAGCCCTAGCCTGAATCGTACTCCTATTGATGCTACTGGCCACATCCAGCCTGTTGATGGGACCATAATGTTTTTTTCTCCTTTGTTGTACTGTCAGGGCAATTGTTTTAAGAGCTTCATTCAGAAAAACAAAATGTATTCTGCTTTCACTGCCTGGCTTTGATGTGACAAACCTTGAGCGCTCTCCCTGTGCCGAGCCAAAGTGACTGGAGCCTGCAAGACTGATTTTTGCCATTTTCTACTCTTGGTTCCACAGTCAGAAGACTATATTGCAACTGGTCCGTGGAACAAACTAACCCAGTTTTGTTTCTCTTCAGATCTGCACTGACCTCTTTAGATTAAACATGAGGTCTCATCCTAAGTGACTCACTCCTGTAGCTAGCTAAATTCAAACTGTCTTCTTTAAAGCCTCTAATCTAAACAATAAATTTCATTGTCACAGCTACGTGGACATTAGTTAAAACAACTTTACATTCTGAAAACAGCTACACGATGTTGCTGTTTTATGTGGTTTTGGCAAGAACACTGCACTTTTTCTCTTTCAGTACTGCCACCTCTTGCTCCCAAACACGGCTGCTGCACTAACAATTAGCAGGTCAGGCCAGTATCGCTGCCGAAGAGTTTACAGAAAGCCATTCCAAGACACTGGCAGGGAAACAGATTCCTAATAAGGCAGCCAAAGCTACGCTGTGCAATGGGACGATACCCAGACACCGCATCAGACCAAGCCCATGAAGTTCCTACGGAATCCTCTGCAAAACACAGCTCAGTTCTGTGAAAGCTCTTGATGTATTTCATGCTCCTCCTGCCTGTGGACTCCCCTTTATATTTGATTCCCTGAAGCCTCTAGATGCAAACTGTGGGCTCGTCCCTCCAGAACAACCCAAGCTACTGACACACAGCGAGAGGACAAGCTATTGTCCCAACCAAGCATACAAGAACCAAGGAGAACATAAGCCCTCCTCCCTCAATAGAAGGAGCAAGGGGCAAGGAAGATCATCACCAGTTCCCATCCTTCCCAGTACCTCTGCCCAGTTTGGGTCTCAGTGCCGAGCTTTCTCAGAAGTCCAGCACCCTTAACAAGAAGAAAATTACTCTCTCTCCAGCTGCTCTCTTATAAATACTATATTTTGCTACAATGCTTTTAATGAACTGCAATAATTTTCTGTGCTTCCAAGCCAGGATATCAAAGCACCTGAAAAACCCTGACTTTCCTTCATCTTTTGCAGTGAGTTAAAGGAAAAAACAGAGGGACAGAGAAATTACATGACTTTGAATCCAGCTCTGTGCTCAAAAATCTAAACCCTGACTCTGTCCATGATAAACACAGCAACCAGCTGGTGGGAGAACAGCACCATCATTCTGAAAGACTGCGCTATTAAAATATCATCCAATTGACACCTTCTTTAAATGACCTTTGAAATAGCATACTTGCAGCCAATCAAAATAGCTTGTCAGCGATGCACTGAGAGTCTCTCCCTGGCTACAAACCCAGGCTCAATCAGTTTTCTCTGTATCATTTGCAACTGCCTGTTACCTTGAAGAGTGAAACGCTAAAAAAATTAAAATAAAATACAAAAAGAACCACAACACAAGATGGTTCCCACTCTAATCAGTAAAAATAGCTAGGGTAGCAGATAAGATTTCTGGCATGCTGGGGAGTAAAATTTAGACTGCATGCCACATATCAGTGGTTAGATGTTCTCTGTTATTTTTCAGATACTCAGGCAAATGATGTTCACATGCACAGGTAGGTTGGTACATACTTAGTGATTCTTGGCTGTGCCCATAATTGTGATAATCAAGTTAGATAAGTTACCATGGAAAGCCTTTGCAAAATGTATAACTTATATTTCTATCATTAAAGAGGACTTACCTTTAAGGACTCCCAGAGGGGAAATTGTACTAGAGAGAAAGGAATCTGGAGAGATGGGAAAAGAAAAAACAACAACAACATAATGTTACAAAAGCAAATTAGGCTGACATGTTCCTCGACTGGCTAAATTAGGAACAGTTATTGTTCACTCAGTGAACTGCAGCTTATTACATTTACAAATCTTTAAGGACACTTTATGCACGCTGCCATTAAATGACTGGTTTCACTAAAGCAGTTTTACTTTGTTTATCACATTCCCTGCTGAGAGGTTAATGTATTGTTACCAGGGTGGCCCAGTAGAGCAATAAGCACTATGATCTAGTACAGGGACATTCTTGGTTTGATGCTCAGCCAAGAAAGCCATAAGGATGGCTCAAAAAGCACGCTCCTAAGACCAGGAACACAGCCCGGCAAAAAAACATCTTCAGCAATACACACCCTCACAAATGCTGAGCTGAAAACAGTTGTGCTTCAACCAGGGCTTTGCAGTTCGGGCATAAGCTGCAGAGAGAAACTTTTCTGAACATCTCCCAGTGATCTCACATTAACAAGCTCCCTAGTGAATTAAAAGCAGATTGTGAAGAGCTACCACAACCCAACCAAAACCCAAGGGAGATGCTTGGTGGTTCCCTTCTCATCACCTACAACAAGAGGTTCTTCTGTTCAGCAACAGTCTGTATCTCTACCTAGGTTATTCCTGC